ATTTCCCCTCATTATATCATACCCGACACCGATAAAGTGAAGGCCTTTAAGTGTGTCGGGATGACCGTAGCTGGGATGACCATAGCCGGGGGTGAAGGCGATGCCAAAAGCGAAAATAAGGACGAAAAGATGCATGGTTACTCTTTGCCTTTTGATGCAATAATTACACTCGCAGAATAGGTTCTTTGCAGGGCTTGATCACGTGCTCGGATACCACATAGCAACGCTTTGCTGGGGAGCAGGTAAACTAGCGTCACGCTCCTTGTAGTGATCAACTTATGCGAAGCGAACTTTGACTTTTTGGTCGAAAGCCCCGCAAACATTTGTAGTATAAGGACACCAATCGAGAATTATTGTGACTTTGTTTCATTGAGCTTCAATTTCGTCTGATCTACCGTTGTTCTGGGAGTAAAAGACCGGCGAAAGCCCCAATACATGGCGAGATATTGCCGCTTATCCAAGACCGAGTGACGGTGAGTTACTTTGTTTTCTATTAATGACTATTTCCTGGGATTCCGTTATGTTAACTGAAAACGGTCGGTTCAGTCGTCTATTAGAAGACCTCAATCGCGTCAACTTAACTGGTTACGGTTAGAAAGGTTGGTTTCAATACAAGACCAAGTCGTATAGTGTAATTGAACTTATCGGTAAAGTTGGTCAATTTTAATATCTAACTTGTTTTTCCAATTTATTCTTGTATATCTGATTTGGTACGTCTTTGCCTATCAAGCTGGCAAATTGTCTTTTTATATTTGCATTCCAAAAATTGGCTTTTGGTGCTATTTTACAGGAGATTTTTTCAGTTTCAATTTAATGAGAATAATTCTTTCAAGTAGAACAATTGCCAGTCTCCATAAAAGGTAACTTACGCAGTAGAATCTGTTAAGAACTCCTTTGTATGCGAGAGAGCCTGAGTTCGATGACAAGAAGTTTGTTTTCGTCATGTGTAAAGTATTTCTACTAATGCACTGGATTATCACATACGTTCACGTGACATAGATGTTAAGAAATTAGCTCAGATGGAGCTACAAAACTTGAACACACCTGTCCCAAAGGATAAAGCAATAAAAGTCAGAGTGGCTGCTTGTTTGTCGTCTTCCTTTGTCATAATATTCGTGATGTAAAGGTGACCCTTTTCATGATAGATATAAACTTTTCACTAACTTCCAATTTATTAACTTATCCATTTATTTCTCCTAAGTCATTTATTCTTCCATGTAAGTAATTGCAAAGTGTGTTAGAGAAAATCTAATTTAGTAGTATGATAATTTAGTTGTCCATTATATGTGCAAAATTCTTCCGTGTAACAGTGAAAACATTTAGGAGAACTAATGTGTTATACTACCGTTTCAACAAATTTAGGGCGACATTTTTTCCACTGTCTGAGTACGTCACATTTACATAGTACGATCACACTTACAGAAAATAGCAGATAACGAGAAACCCCCTTGGTTCACCTCCTGGTTCCGGTTACACTCGCGACATCGTCGAGGATACCATTCGGACATTAAAGGAAAAGCTCAAGGAATACTGACTTTTATATTGTTGGAATACACTGAGGATCAAGGTGAATGGTTTTCGTGTTGATAAGAAAATGAGCACAATTACGTGCATTCCTTTGTGAGATTGCTGCCAAGAGATGTTGTAGACTCTGATCGCATGATGAAGGCGTATTTCAGGAAAGCAGTAGCAAGAATACACAAAGAGTCAAGTCCATGTGGGTTCCGTGACATTTAACCATAATATATAGATTTAGCCAAGCCTAAAAGCGGAGCTCTTATTAGTTCATTTTCCAGCCCTACATTAAAATAAAAACTGCTATAAAACTCCTCAGCAATGGCCGTAGAAGAGTTTCTTCAAGGGGATTTAGGGACCGGTCCAGGGAGTCGGGAGGGGGCAGAAATTGACGAGGTCTGGAGCCTGGGGACGATGTTCTCACAGCTTTCAAAGCGATCGACACGCATGCGAGTCAGCGGTATCTTAAGGCAGCTGAAGACCTTCGCTGTTGTTCCTGATGTTTTGTGCAAATTTTCGAAGATAGGGAATGTTTTCTCCTTCAAATGAAGTGTATGATGTCAGCATCAGTTGAAATTATAATCTATTAAGCGTGACTGATAATTTAAGTTTGGGGAAAATGGGCCAAAATTGAAAGAAAAGACGGTAAACTACTTTGCGTGTAAATTCATTGTTTCCTTACTCGGAACTGGTTAGATCAAATGACCACCACAAACCGTATAATATTAAGCCAAGCTTTAATAATTATTCGATCTAAAAGAAATACATTTATAATTCGCAATTAGAACAAACGCAAATCAAGTCTTTATCTTGTAACTAAATTCAAAAACTTCAATATAAACTTACTTCTGTGGCGGGTCGTTACAACAGTCTCACTTTAAAGGTTAGCAGATTCTCCAGGTAAGCGGATTTAGAGACAGAAAAACGATAACAAAATAACTTCTTTCTCACTTCGATTCTGCTGAAAAACTGACTTAAAACATAATAATCTAACGCTTTTAAATCAATCTATTGAATTAATGTCAATCACGATTCTTGTCATCGAATAAATCTGTCAACACGAGGCAACGTCTATTTATTAAACGAAACATTCATCACCGTTCGATTGAAGAGGTATCCGCCACTTTCGCCCCTATCGAGTTCACCCATACCTTATCCCATGTTCGCCCCCACACTTTTCAAGTTCGACCCCTCCAAGTTCGAGTTCTACGATGCTTTTCCTGCTACGTTTCCTGAGCCTCATGCATTTGATAAGTCGTCGCTAATGGAGCCTTCAGCAACAGGTTCTGGACCAGCCATCTTCGAGATCGAGTTTGAGATAGTGGAAGATTCCATAGAGCGGGGCCGAAATAAGCTGGTGGACAGCCGTGGTTACGCTTATAGCGTTAAAAGACGTCGAGGTGGAAACACTGATTGGCAGTGCACTGTTTGACCAAAGGTATAGTTCTACATTCATTTCTTTCACAATCACCCGGGGCAAGTGGGCGCAGGCTTAGCAGCCCGGATTACTGCAAAGGCGAAAAAGCAAGCTGTCGCAAATTTGTTTAAGCCGGCGTCTGTAATTGCAATTCACTGAACAGGAATACAGAAGAGTATACACATGTTTCTTGTGCTGCCAAAGTTTGCTTTAAAGGAAGACAAGCTAGATCTAGATTATCATAGTTAAAACTTGATGACGAAGAGAGGCTTAAGATTCGACCATGAAGGCATTTGTAGAAAACTTGAGATAATACCTGGATTTCATTTTTACATCACAGAAATCAATTCCAAACATGAACTAAGTTTTCGATTTAGTTTAAAAGTTGAGTTGATGTTGTTATTGGCTATATTAAATAGGTTGAACAATTTTAGTTGGTATTTTCTCATGTTTGCAAATAATTTAATTTACTGGAAGGTGGAGTTGTTGCAACATGTTAACATGAAAAACATCCATAAATTTTATTGATATGTAAAAAGTTTTTATTTGACTATCTACTGGCAAGTCTTTGTATTATATTTCAACCCAACTATTTTCCACATCTTGTAAACACAATTACAAAATAATTAGTCAAGGAAATTGAAAATTTGTAGCATATACACCATGTTTGAAATGCCATGTCCATAATGAGCTGACAGTGATGAGGAGGGTGTATGTGGGAGTTGGCTCTCTTGTCTGTATCATTAATTTGCTGATCACTCCTGTTGCCAAAGTTTTAGAAAATATAGGGCTGTATATTAAATACTTATCTGATCTGATTGCAAGAACAGACAAACAAATCAGACAAGGAAACAACATTTGATCTCACTTACAAATATAGAGTTTTCAGCTAAGAATGTATGCCAGCTATTGGCATAAGTATCCTGTCCAAAAGCTGTTGCACCCGCTTATATTGCTTATACACAAGCGTTCAAACAGCAACTTAAAAATAAATGTAATGTATCCACCACAACAAACTCAAAAGGGATGTTAAGAAGTGGAGGCATTGTGCAGCCTTTCCTTGCAGCCGTGGTGGAGCGCTGGCACAACCAAGTGCACTCTGATAGCTTTCTCTCAATTGGCCAGTCATCAACTGGAAAAAGATAACATAATATAATATATTTCTATTATTGACTTGCTTGTTGTTGGCTCTGTGATGATGAAGATGAATTTAAAATACAAAATTTCAAGAAGAAATTCTCCCTACTTACTATCAAGGTTGTTAATTTGGTCCTTGCAGCAATAACACCAAATACAAAAGTATTTCGAGCTAGCTCCATTTAGTCCATAAACAAGGGCCAAAAACTTTCAGTCAGAGCAACAATACCTGTTAATAAACAAATTATTAAACATGAATTAACCAGTAAACACCTTTAAGGTCATTAGTTGTTAGCATCTCTGCACTTACCAATGTACAATGCCAGAGTATACTGGTATTCGTATGTTGCTTTATTTTCACACAGAATGTTGAACACAGCCATTACTGTGCCAATCCTTTTGCTTGTCCTCCTCCCATCAGCTGCAAATCTAAGTTTAATTTTTGATCCATCTTTTTTTATGGCATCCTTAACTTCTGGTATTGCGATTAAATACTGCAAAACATCATGAACACTCCTCCAGGCACCACCAGCTTGTTTGGCCTGCATTTATTTAAAACACAAAATATTAATTATTCTGTAAATTATTATGCTTGCCACAGTCACATTACAAATTGAACAATACAAATCAAAATAAACTTAAATAGTACTGGTGCATAGTGTCACTTATGATACCCGGAAATCATCCTAGGTCGAATATGTGGCCATGATTTTGCCAACAAGCATGGGTGGGAAACTGTCAAAAACACTGCTAAGCTTTTGGATGCTGTAACAAAGTTTCCCTGCCGTACTCCCGGTAAAAGTTGTCTTTGTTCTGAGCGACATTCCCCTTACCCCACCCCGAGAATTGTGATATTGTCAACATCTGGTAGTCAACGAATATTTTGAATCTCGCGCTCGGAAATTGGCAAAGCGTCGGTTCTTTCAAACCTTTGTTCTAGAAACAATAGAGCCTCTAAGCTGTAAACAATTAAAATGCCCATAAAAGGAAGGTAATCCAGTACCATTGTCTACTAAAAATTAAACACAAAGTTTGATATGAAGTTTCCCTCCCTTTAAACTAATTTCTCAGTAACAATTGAATTACTGTCATGACATAGATGGATATTGTTCATTTTAAGAAAGCATCATTCAGCAAACAGTAACGCTCCAGCGCAACGTATGAAGTGCTTCGAAAAGACCACAAAGCCCACATTGTCCAGATAAACACTCAACCCAAGCGATATGAACACGTTATCTTTTCAAAATCCATCAGTGTCGTCCGGTCCTGTTGCGCGTATTAAAGAGTCAATGACAGTTATCTTCTACAATTTTATTAGCAACCCGATAAATGATAACGTTTTTTAAAAAGTTGACTTTCTCATCCATAGCATCCGAAGGATAAAAAAGGAATTAAAAATTATTCACCGGCAATGAGGTGAATAACTATTTTTAATGTTAGCCACACAATACCAAAAAACTAGTTTACTTTTGTCAAAATTAATGTTTTTGTCCTGAATTTTGATTGCTTCTCCATTGGATTGGAGCCATCAACAAAAATGAACTTGCAAACGATTTCATTTTCACCAGAGAAAAATGTGTGTGATTGAGGTTTTGACATTTTTGGTAGACTACTCTTGTCAAGTATCCCTTGATCAATTGAGGTTTTACAACAAGCTTTTCCTACTGAATTCTCCACGCAATGAAAAATTAATGCTCTCAGTTTGGGTCGTTATATTTTGATAGTTCTTGAATAGTAGAGTTCTTTTGTCAAGTTACCAGGTTTTCATGTTATTTATTATTATCTTCTTTAAGGACACATGTAATAACAGATTTCACTGTTATCTTGTTAGGATTTTAATACTGAACACGTTCCTCTCTCTCGATAGTTCGTTATTCATTATCGATTTAGTATCACCAAACATCTATTTTAATGCTTTAAAACTAAGAAATCCGTTCGTGAGTCTGTTATTGTCTTGATTTCCATGATTCACAATTCCGATTTCGGATCGTCCTTGATTTTTTCTACATGTTGAATTAATTTTTCTTCGCGTATAGTCTCTTCGATTCATCTCAATCAAAACACTCAAGATTTTACTCTCGTCAAGAAAAAAGTTCGGTGATTTTCCTCGTTTATCTTGGATTGGGGACAATGTATAAACTTTTCCACGCATTCCACCCTTCCTTCGAAAAAGATTACTGAGAAAAGCATCATTTTCCTGAAGATCCTTTGTCGGTGACCTCAGTTTCTTTACAATATCTTTAATTCCTCGCCGCACTGTTGTATTGTAAACAGCAAACAATATGGGGCTTATAGCACAATTGCTGTGCGCTAAGAACATGCGCCAAAATCTGAAGCTACATGGAACCTTCCTGTGGGTGATTTGGGCTGTGAAGTATGTTATCCAGCAAACTAAGAACACAAGAGTAATAAGAACCATCATTTTTGCTATGTTGCGTATAGCTCTAACCCGTAATCTTTCTAAGCGAATCTCTGTGGTCCTCTCCTGCCGGGGAGTTTTACCTGTTTTGAGCTTGATAGCAACGGCTAGATACAAGACGAATATCAGCAACCATGGAATAGCATAAAACGTTATGAAAAGGAACGTGTAATATATATTTCGGGCGTCTTTATTGTTAAACGCTTCTGTAAGACTGGAACTGCAAGTGTGTCTTCCTTTCGAAATCTTGGTACGCAGGGCTATGAAGTATGGCACTCGGACGATAACAGCTAAAGCCCATGTAAGAAAGATCGCAAATTTTGCTACTTTCGTTGTGAAGGGATTTCTCAAAGGAAATGCTACGGCGCAGAAGGTGTCCAAACTCGAAGTCAACAGAGTCAAAACTGAGGCGATAATTGCTACCGTGTGAAGGAATGGAGCAGTTTTGCATAGAACGTAACCAAAGTCTCCCTCGACGAGCCAAACAGGACCAATTAAATACATTGGGATCAGTCTCGGCATGTATACGGTGGTAATGACAAGATTTGCAATCGCCATATTCACCACGGACAAGTTGATGGTCTTTCGCTTCCTTCCATATTTGGAAACCACAGTAATAATGAAGATGTTTCCAAACAACGATGCCAATATAATTACACTGTAGGCGATTACCCGACCGAATTTGACTGAGGACGCGTCGTGGACGTAACATGCGATAGACGATGTGCTTGTAACGTTAGTACCTTTGTTGAAGGAGTCGATGGTTGAAGAGAAGTTCATTTTCTCAATCTGTAAAGCAAAATGTGAACACTAGAAACTAAATAAACTGCTTCTTACGCTGCGTTTTTGTTCCTATCTAATCCGTGATGATTACTGAGTGAATAGCGATGGGTAAGCACGTGATTTTAAAATCAAACAAATACTGTAACATATACAGCCACATAAGTATTTTGTTTCGATCAGTGATAGAAAACAAACCGATTGAAAATATCATTCTAACCTTGCATTATTATCAGATTAGCATATAGCAACGCAAAAATGTTCTGCTCGCTGTCTGATGTATATTTACCGTCGGTTAGAAAATGTTTGTTTTTGGATACTGCTGGTCTCGAGATTAATTAATGGACTTTGGCAGCGTTCCTGATAATAATTTGAAAGCAAGTTTCATGATTTTTTTTACTCTAGCGCTTTCTATACCCTGTGTATATTTCACTCAACTGTAGATCTTACATGTAAATGTTTCTCAAAAAGTGTTATCAAAAAAAGATGAAAAAAAAAAAATACGGAAAAGATAAAATCTCAGTGCTGTTTGTATGTGATTAGAATATTAAAAAAAACTAAGGGATATAAAAAATTCATGTTTGTTTCGCGTTCTTTAATTTTGGACAACCGCTTAGAACTATAAACAATTGTCTACTAGCAACGTCAATAAATTGCTGATAATCATTCAGTCGTTCATTCCACAACCACAGAAACATTTCAAAGAAGTTAAATACTATTCCAAGCAATTTCTTACCACAAATTAAAAATTGTTTTTAGATGTTGTTTAATTTTGGACCCCCGCTTAGAGCTATTAACAACTGTCAGGTAACAACTTCAGTAAATTACTAGTATTCAGTCGTTCAGTCGATAACCTGGAAGACTCTGGAAACATTTCTATAAAATCTAATGCTATTCTAAGCAATTTCTTAGCAGGAATTAAAACAGGTTCCTTTCAAATTGAATCATTGATCTCTCTTTTTACTTAAGCGTATGCAAAAAAAGAAGGAGGAAGACTAGAAAAGTGACAAAACCGGATATTCGCGTGAAAGTCTTGTCGAGAAAAAATTTTCAGGAAAGTCTAATTGTCATCTGTTGGCATAGAGCAAAATGGTCTTGTGAAATTTCGGTACCTGTTGAGAAGCTAATAATTTTTCGAAATTTGGGTGTTACTTTCGCCAATGAGATCATCCCTGTAAATCGTTTTCTTAGAATTCTGAATCCCTGGAAGGTTTTGAGGAATTAAACCTTACAACGGATCGCAAGAAAAAAAAATCATCATGTGCAAACTTTACAAGGGTGCCTTAAAATTACCAAAGTTACGCCTTTCTTCTGTAGAACCTGCACGTATGAAGTGTTTGATAATTTAAATAGAGGGTGATTGGTTAGATGAGGGGACATTATGGCAAAAGATAATTGAAAAACATGACTAGTTTTCGTAATTGAAAAGTTCATTGTTTTACCTCAAACGAGACCAATTTTTGCCAAATGTCAATATTTGGATGCTTGTAATCTGAGTATGGATGAGATATGATTACGATGTGGAAGTTTAGAATCTTTTCCTAATCGCTCATCGCGATCGGCCGCCTTTGATTGTGCCTCGTTATTTTTAAACTCGACTATCATGGAGGAAGCAATTGGTTTCTCGATCTTCGTGAGCGAGGAGATAAGACTTTTATGGATTACACATCCATTCCACCTGCTATTTCTGTTATTTTCTGGTTATCAATTTGCACGGCTCTCAATTTATGAACGCGATGACAGCGAGAAATCAGCAGAATTAGAATATGCAAAGAAGTTCACCGTTTGCGTGGAGCAAATTGTCTGACATCGTTTGTGGATGCAAGGTACATTAAATCTGAAATTTTGAGGCAGTGATTACTGTGTTTCAAGTGTTAGAGAATAATATTTTTCACATGGAAGAGTTTGTAAAGAATTTTGATGAAAATTTTCTATTGTTATTGCAAGGGTCAAAAACGAGGAAGTTGTACCCAAGAACGATTTATGTGACAAAAGTGAGAAATGTTTTAGTGTAAAGAGAAAAGCAGGAAGTCAATCGAGTTCTGGTCATGTTCTTTTATTGAATTACTGGTTATAGAACACAAATCCAAAACTACCAATAGAATGATTATATAGTTCAAGTCTATTGAGCAGTCATTTCCTTCAGATTAAATCAACGTTTACTCATGTTAAAAACCGTGCTCTCTGTATCTCAATTTGTGAATAAAAATCTTTCAAGCACTTTCCATGGTATGATTTTTTTACCTCATACATACTGACATTTTCTTCTTACTGACCGACAAAGATTGAACGCGAACGACTGTGAAAATACATCGTTCTTCCATTCAGAGACACGAAGATAGAGCTTCACAGCGTAAATCTCAGTATGTATGAAAGGAAGTAAATGAATAGACAAATAAAGGTTCCCCCAACATTTCGTCGCTGGTTTCTTTGAGAGTCTGCTAGAATATAGTTGCACTCCTGCGTCGAAAGAGGTCACGTGATGGCTAAGTATCTCGCCGAAGAGCACAGCACAATAAACCCGACAGGACTCGACCCAGGCCCTCGCGAAGTCACGATCTGTGATACGGCGCGCTAAGCTTTAGCAAGTGCGTCTGAAATATTTAACGACGATGTACTCAAAACACAATAGACTAAATGTAAATAAATTCAAATTCTGTGTTTAGGGAATTTAAACAGGTAGTTAACACTGTAGGTGGGTAGTTTTGTGGAAGTGAGAATAGCCAGTTGTAATTACGGCTCCTGTTTAGAGTATTTATTATAGACGATAAATAAGGCGATTTGCGCGAAAGTAATTGCTCAATGTTTTGTTTCTCACGCTGTCGAGAGCCCTTTATAATGCTGCTGTTGCGATAAACTACCTATTCGGGAAATAATTTGGTTGTTTGTTTTTTTTTTTAATGCCATAAGGCTTCAGTACTTATGAATTTTTCAAAGCTTTATCATATGACCTGGCAATTATTTTGGCTAGGGGCATTCATATGACCGGTTGCTTAGATTTTATCGTGCAATTGTAAACATGCGATCGCAACAACATCACTTTGGGTTTTTTCGGAAATTGATTCTGATGTTATGGTAAAACTCAGAATATACAGTCGATAACAGCATGTGTTGCTTTCCAAGGTGAGACACAACTTGCCATTTTGCAGGCATAAAAAATGAACAATAATGTGTGGAAGTGAAAATAGCCAGTTTTAAAGATGGCTCCTGTCAATGATATTCATTATCGATTTAAATTTGTGATTGTGTTAAAGAAATTGTGTGCGATTGTGTTAAAGAAATTACTCGGTGCTTTATTTCTCATACTGTCCAGAGCCCTTGATTATGCTGCTGTTGCGATAAACCATCTATTTGGGAAATAATTTAGTTGTTTTTTTTTCTTTTACTGCCATAAACTTCCCCTCCTTATGCATTATTCAAATGTCTATCATATAACATGACAATTATTTTGGCTGGGGGGCATTCACATGACTGGTGGCTTGGATTTTAGCATGCAATTGTAAAACACTCGCCAAAACATCACGTTGGGGTTTTCGGAAATTGAATCTCTTGTTATGGCGAACTCAGGATCAACGGTTGATAACAGCATGTGTTTTTTTCCAAGGTGAGACACAATTTGCCATTTTGTAGGCATAAAAAATAAACAAAATGTATGTTAAACAACGTTTTGAGACACACGTGTATGGAACTCTTCCAGAGTTCAGCTTGTTCCAGCCACTTCTAAAATATAATTAAATTAAGAAATATTTCCAAAAAGTCAGCTTAGGGTCTTATCCTTCCCCCTAAGTGAACCCCTCGAACAGTTTTCGCGTTTTTACTTGGCGTTGAATTGCGAAATTTCCACGGGATAAAAATTTTATAAAAAATAAACACTTCACTGCTTCTTTACGTATGTTCATGCAAAAGCTCCGCATCAGGCAAAGAGTATTTTAGAATGTAAGTGGTTGGCATTCAACATAATCGACGTTAAAAAACTATGTTTTGAACTTAATCTGACTGAAAACATAACACGCGAGAGCGCGCTCGAAAAGTATTTGCTAGAAAGCCATACGCTCTGACGCCCTTATCAGTTCGATGTAAAATTGATTAGCTATTGTCCTTAGGTACCTTATTCGATGGTGTTTTCCTTCTGAATATCAGTTGTTAGTAGTGAGATCTCCACTGACGAACCAGCCATCTCAAGAGAGCCTTCCATGAACTCTGAATTCAAGCTTAATATAGAGACAGATGGGTTCTATGACCTTGAGGCTAGGGTAAATAAATATATTGAAAAACTCTAGCCAATCAACGCGAGAGATATTTCAGTCAATAAAGAACGATCTGAGAGGAGTTTGCGCAGCACTTGACGCGCAGTCAAGTCACATGAAGTTAGAAGGCACGAAAAATATTCATGCGGTTGTTAAAAGTTATCATACTGTGCGGTTCGTGCCAAAATAAAGTTTCACGCACCGTTAAACTGAACTTAAGGAGGCTCCATAGGGTTTTTTCTCAATGTTGGTGCGCGTGCCAGCGTGCTGTTTTTCTCTGAAATGTTTATGTTTTCGATCTTTAAGGTAACTAAAAGGTTTAGACTATCGTTTGCTGTAGTAAACATCATCAAAATGATTTTCATTATTATGCTAAGGCTCCAAGAAGGGAGGCGCTCGCCAGCGATAGTTTGGCTTTGCCTTGGCTTTGAATTTCTTCAATTTGCTTCGGTGAAATCTCTCAAAACTTTCACAATAAAAATTATCCAGCCGATCATTTACAAGCCGAAGTTTGGGTTATCTTCCTCTATCTCAAATTTGGTCTGATAAATTGATATACCTTTTCAGATAACAATCGTGCTATGGTATCGAGTCGCCATGTTTGTTTTGCATGTTGATACTTTTAAAGCTCGTGCTATGTTCGCACTCAGATCCCGTGCGGTCAAAAAACCCTTTTTGGAGCATCGTAAAGTTGCCTTAAAATTATCAATATCAGCATATAGCTGACTTTATGCTGTTCATGTTCATAGCGTGGTGTTTTTGTGATTGCTCGCCTAGACATGTATTAAACCCAGACTATCTGAAAACAATTTAACTTATGGTATTACAGCTGAATGACAGAGTTTCTCTTGAAAAAAAAGTTTCAGTAAAAGCGCCCACAAAGAAACACGGCTGAATGTCCATAGAATGTTGAGCTAGAAACCCTTACTGGTGTTCTGAATTCGACAGAGTAGTTCCCACCAAACGCAGAAAATCCTCAAGGAAA